TACTGACAGTCCAATGGACTGGACTGGACTGGAACACGTGTTCCAGTGGACTGGACTAACCCAAGTGACAACCCTGTAAATGACGCACTTCGGATTGAGCCAAAATGCTCTAATTCTCCTCAATGGATAATTGATGTTTTCTTTATAATAATCAAAAATAAGAACTCTTTCCTATTTGAATTTAAAGAAATGTAAAAAATAAACAACATGCTTGAGAAGTTTGTCTTTTACTGTATACTGTATTTGCATACAAATAAGAAATTTATTTGATTTAAAGACTTACTAAAACGCAATAGGGTTTGAGTTACACGAATTTTTAGTTATTCTTATTGGTTGTACTAATTGAATTGTTACAAATAAGTGCGTAACAGATTGTTACAAATGTTATCATTATTCCCGGGACACCTTGTGAAAAATTAACCGAGTGCCAATTAGATAAGTTATTGATTTCGGCATGATTAGAGATGGGCACGCGCGGGATCCACGGGATTTTTAATATGATCCCGAAATAAGATTATCTGGCCGGCATTACCATAACATCTGGCTAGCATTGATATAATATCTGGCCTACATTAACATATTTAGCTAATTCCTAATTAGAATTTATTTATTTATTTGCACACATATGTATATATAGTATATAATAAGAATTACCTTCTTTGTCGTTGGTATCTTTTGCTTACGCACCAAAAATTTTCTTTATGATTAAGCCACTCTTTTTAAAAATAAGTATAACATGCGTGGTAATAATGATATTTGGAATCATACAAATATTGGATCAGATGAAAGCTTTAACCAAGGACGTGCTCAATATAATTACTGCGATTAAACCTTGGCCAATGCCAACTATCAAAATTTTAGGCAAAATTACTCGAAATTTTACTAATGAAATCGTGGCCCCCATTAAGTGAAATTAGGGTTGGGAAATTACCGTAATTTTATGTAATTTTAGTAATTTTACGTAAGTTTGTGTTTCTGAAATCAAAATTGCATGTAATTTGTAAGAAACGTGACCATTCTATCATATGATTCAATATGATTCTTTGATTAGTCAACTTTATGCAAAATCTATTTAAGTTCAATAACGACAGCTAAATTTTTCATAGTGCTGGCACCATGTATTGTAAGTTTGTAAAATGTAATTTTCAATCCTAAGTGAAAGATGTTCCTGGGATAATTTTACAATTGCACAGGCACCATAAATTTTTCAGTAATGCGGACCAGAAGTTTGTTGATCACCGTCGTTGGCCAATCAAAATCGAGGATTAATCGCGCATTTTTTGAAACCCATCTCTAGGCATGATCAATGTAACGTTTATTATTTACAAAGGTACAATTATTAATCGATAATGACCAGATAACTAATATCGATATAACTCTAGTTAAGTATTGTATTCAGTCGAAAAAATTTAGGAGGGTTATAAATTCGAACAACTGCCAAACACATAGGTGCTAGCAGATCTTAAGTTTTCAACCAATAGAGGGTTTCAAAGTTAACGTGCGGGAATCTAATTTTGAAAGAAATAGATGATGTATTTATTTACAAATTAGCATTTCATTTCCCGATAAATTTGAAATGATGATTTTTGTCGTTGAAAAGTCTATTTATTTCGTTAAATGGGATTTTAAAATTTTGAAATACAATTAAGATTTTTCAAACTCTCATTTAATTTCAAAATACGCCACTCATTTGCTAACTTTGAAACCCAAAGGTATGATGCGTTGAAAAATTTCCGCCACTTGTAAAAATTCACGTCTATTAAACCTGAATGATATACAGTAAAATATCTTAAGACTTTAATAGAAGAAAAGCCCAACTGATATTTGTATGAGTTACGATTAGAAATAGAACGTGAAATTAGAGATCATTTGAAGCAGGGTTGAAAATACCATACTAATTTGCCGGCCATCCAAAAGTATCATTATTGATCTATGGTATATTAAAATTTTATTGGCTAGAATTAACAATTATATGTATAATATAAATTACTGCATAAATTACATTACGAACTTAGTATTTATAGATTAAAACGTTATACGTATAAATTTTTTTCATCGTTGAAAAAATTTGTGATCCTTTCGAGTTAGAAGAGTGAAACTAATTTAATTAAAATTTTGAAATGAATAAAAATTTCGTTAAAATTTTAAAATAAATGAATAATTTCGTATATGAATATATTGGGCGATAGAATTCTTGTACAAAGAGTTAGTAGTAATTTAAATTAATATTTAATAAGTTTATATATTACTTGAATGTGATAGTTAATAAACTAAAGCTTTCTATTTTCTAATAGGTGATAAAATAAATTTAAATATTATAAATGTATTAATATTCTTTATATTTAAGGTAAATTAAACTTTAAAATATTTTATAAAACTATTTATTTTCACTATTTATTTTATAACTCTATTATGTTTAATTTTTAATTTATTTAATTAGTTGCAAAAAGTTTTCCAATTATATTGATTACAAGAAATAATGAAAAAAAGTTTATTAAAAACTAATTTAAATTCAATTTACTATGTTAATATTGTTATTATAATCTTATTAAGAATTATTTCCAAGTTTTCTTTTTCTATTTTCATACCAAATACTTGATGCATCATCAAAATTAAATTCTTTTTCATCTGAACCTTCTAATCTGATCATCATTAGCATATATAATGTATCATTATTTAAACTATTATATAATTTAGTCTTAATTAAATTTTGTTTGAAAACCCATGCTCACATTCTACATTAGAGAAAGAGATAGAATATATTATAGCTAATAGTTTAGTTATGTTTGGATATAAACTATAATAATTTTGAAATAATAAGATAAGTAATTTGTCTGTAGATAATTGTTAATAATTTTCATAGATAAATTTTTTAAAATTAAATTATTATATATTTTTATTATCAAAATTAATTATTGTTAATGAAAATAAAGAAAGTTGTGATTTTTCATAAAAATTAAGTAATATATCTAATTTCTTTATTCCAAACTCTAATAAATTTTGACTATTTACTAACTCTTCAGAAAAATTAAAAATTTTTATAGCATTAATAAAAGAGTTATTTGAAAATTGTTTTTGAATTTCCAAAATAAGTGCAGATGAAAAACTTATTAT